CCCTCCAACACACACACACACACACACACACACACACAAATGATACTGGCCACAATTGTGCTTATGTGAAAACCCTGGGCCACATAAACCAGGATTTTCTTTTTTGGCAGGGGTAGAGTAGCCTTTATTGATGGTACATGACAAGGTAGGGCTCCCTAAGTCCCTCCTCTTCTTCAGGGAGTCTGGGGTAGAAACTGTGTGGATGACAGGAGATTCTGTGTGTCGGGGGATCAAGTTGGGGCAAGGACTCCTCTGCAGCTGAGGGCCTCTCTCTTCCTCTTGTTCTTTCATTGGGGCTGGTGGCCCAGTGGCTCTTACTCCTTAGAGGCCATGTGGACCATAAGGTCCACCACCCTGTGGCTGTAGACAAATTCATTGTCATCCCAGGAAATGAGCTTGACAAAGTGGTCATTGAGGGCAATGCCAGCCCCAGCATTGAGGGTGGAAGAGAGGCGTCACTGTTAAAGATGCAGGATACAACCTAGTCCTCAGTATAGCCCAGGAAACCCTTTAGGTGGCCCTCCAGTGCCTGCCTCACCACCTTCTTGATGTCATCATATTTGGCAGTTTTCTCCCGGTGGCAGGTCAGATCCATGACTGACACATTGGGGGTGGGGACATGGAACGCCATGCCAGTGAGCTTCCCATTCAGCTCAGGGATGACCTTGTCCACACAGCCTTGGCAGCACCAATAGAAGCAAGGATGATGTCCTGGGCAGCCCCTTGGCCATCATGCCACAGCTTCTCAGAGGGACCATCCACAGTCTTCTGGGTAGCAGTGATGGCATGGACTACGGTCATGGGTCCCTCCACAATGCCAAAGTTGTTATGGATGACCTTGGCCAAGGGTCTAAGCAGTTGGTGGTGCAGGAGGCATTGCTGACAATCTTGAGGAAGTTATCATACTTCTCATGGTTCATGTCCATCACAAACATGGGAGCATCAGAGAAAGGGCAAAGATGATGAGCCTTTTCACTCCACCCTTCAAGTGAGCCCCAGCCTTCTACAAGGTAGTGAAGACACCAGTGGGTTCCACAACATATTCAGCACCAGCGTCACTCCATTTGATGTTGGTGGGATCTTGCTCCTAGAAAATGGAGATGGGCTTTCCATTGATGACAAGCTTCCCGCTCTCAGTCTTGACTGTGCCATTGAACTTGCCATGGGTGGACTCATACTGGAATATGGAAAGCATGTAGCTGAGGTCAACGAAGGGGTCATTGACGGCAACAATATCCACTTTGCTGGAGTTAAAAGCAGCCCTGGTGACCAGGTGCCCAAAATGGCCATTTACTCTGACCTTCACCATTGTGTCTCAGGGATGCAGCTGGCACCACACAAGAAGATGCGGCTGTCTGTTGAACCAAGAGGAACAGAGAGCCAAACCAGGACTTTCTTGCTTGAGCTATAGGAAATTTCACGAAGCAATGGGGCAGACTGTTGATTACTACTTTTAGGCACTACTCTCTTCTTGCTACTAGAACTCTGATTTTGTTAAGTATGGGCTGGTAACAGGCTCAGGAAAGATGGGGGTCACCCATAGGATTGCCAGATTTAGCAAATAAAAATATAGGACACTCAGTTAAAACTGAATTTCAGACAAACAACTAATAGGCAACCCTATCCCCCAGGTTCCGAGGATAAACTGTACTTGGTTAAGCCAAATGTGGCAATCCCTTTCCCCCTTGCCAGTGATTGGTTTGGGGGTGGGCATATAACACAGTTCGACCATTGCATCTGAGGAGAAATCTTCTGGGGGCTTCTGGGAAAGATTTTCCTCCTTGATTAAAAACAGAGAGAGAGAGAGCAATGTGGGAAGATCTTCATGCTTCCTGCCTTCAGTAATCTTCTGTGAAGATGTGGTGCTGGGAACAGCAGCAGTCATTTTGTCACCTGAGGAAAAGACATGAGAAAGTCAGAGAGACTGAGCCAGAGCTCTGACAGTGTTGAACTTCTGAATTAGGTAGCTCTGGAATTCTCTTCTCCAGACTTCTTGTTATGTAAAATAATGAATGTCCTCACTGTTTAAGCCTCATAGTTGGGTATTCTGTTTATGTTGCTAAATGATTCAGCTGAAAGTATTTTGGATCTCACTCAGCAGGTGTTAAATGGCTGTGGTTCATAGATAGACCCAGAACTCAGCTAAAGAATCTTATCCCACCCAGCTAAACAAAGTTATTTTATTATAAGATCTACTGGCCTAGTAGTATCACATGGGTATTTCTCAAGTTCTCACATTTTCAAGAAATAAAAACCTTCCCATGGAATTTGGAAGATGTATGGGAGACAGTGATTCTTGCCTCCTATGATGGAATAGTTATTAACAGTTTTCTGTACCTGCAATGTCATTGATAGCTGCAGAGATCTGTACTGGTTGCATGGGGAAGAGCCAGCCAGGCAGGCCAATTTTTTGGGACAGACAGACATTGTTTCACAATTGTGGGTGTGAAACGGGCAACCTTTAGCCCAGAAGAAGTTGGGATTGGCGGTCCTGAGATAAGGTTAGCATCTACGGCATCTGTGCTGTCACATTTGATTACAATGTGGATTATACCCACCATTTGTTGGTTTTATTTCCAAACATTCTAAAATAAAGAAAATTTATCAAATGTTTAATAGCCATAATTTTTATGTGTGGCAAATATTTTTATTAAAAAAAATGCACATGGCATCTATGGAATTCAGACCAATAAGTCTCCCTTCCATCCCAGTCTCCTTTTCTTCTACTCTATTGTAACCATTGTTATGTTTCTGTGTATCCTTCCAGACTTTTGTATACAAGGACAGATATATAAATATGTACAACTCCTTTTCAAATACAAATGGTAGAACATAACACACATGAACTGTATCTTGGAGTTCCTCCCACATCATTACTTTTAAAACCACCTTATTCTGTTCAAGGGCTGCACAGTATTTAATGCATGATGTGCCATAACGTATTAGCCGATCTCCTACTGACAGACACTATAATGGACATCTGTCATGTTCTCTGGTTGGCCAGTTCCTTTGGAACACTTCTCATGTTTGTGGAAAAACTCACTCTCCAGTCTCCTCTGAAGCTCCACTGACCAGTTGCACCCATGCCAGTCTCCAGATCAGAAGTGGGCCCCAGGAGGCACTGGGCTTTGGGCAGCACGTCCATTTTGCTGGCAAGGGTGCAGTACAGCCTCTGGCTTTGGGGGCAACAGGGATTACAAAGTGAATTTCTGATCCAGAAGACACACTGGTGGCACTGGTGTGAGTGACAGGTGCAGCCGCAGTCAAGTTCTGGGCAGCAGTACAAATTGTGGCATCTAGTTCTTGATCACAGCACAAAGTTCTGTGCCTTTTACTCGTCATGTTATTTCTATATGTGGTTTATGGTTTTCTCTCTTGAGGTTTAGCATCAAGCCTATTCGCTAGCCTTCCCAACAATTATATTTATAATAAATAAATTTCTGTTCATCAGCCAGAGTCACTTCTGCTCACAACCAAGAGTCGGTGACAAACATTTTGTTTTCCTTCTAATTTCTTATTTTTTAGAAAAAAAACCTATAATGATTATCCTTCCATATACATCTTTGTGCTTGTGTGGGGTAAATCTGTGACATAAAGTCCTAGAAATGGAATTGCTCTGAGAGAAAATATTTGCAAAAGACACATCTGATAAGGGACTGTCATCCAAAACACACAAAGAACTCTTAACACTCAATAATAAGAGAACAAATAACGCGATTAAAAAAATGGGCCAAAGACCTTAACAAACATCTTATCAAAGAAGATATACAGATGGCAAATAAGCATATGAAAAAACATTCCACAACATATGTCATCACAGAAATGCCAATTTTTTTGTGTATGTGTGAGGAAGATCAGCCCTGAGCTAACATCTGATGCCAATCCTCTTTTTTGCTGAGGAAGATTGGCCCTGGGCTAACATCCGTGCCCATCTTCCTCTACTTTATATGGGATGCTGCCACAGCATGGCTCAACAATCGGTGTGTGGGTGCACACCCGGGATCCGAACCCTTGAACCCCAGGGCCGCTGCAGCGGAGCGTGCGCACTTAACTGCTTGCGCCACCAGGCCAGCCCCGGGAAATGCAAATTAAAACAAAATTACATACCTATTGAAGGCCCAAAATCCAAAAACATTGACAACACCAAATGCTGGCAACGAGTTGGAGCAACAGGAACTCTCGTTCATCGCTGGTGGGAATGCAAAATGGTACAGCCACTTTGGAAGACCTGCATATTGATGTTTATAGCAGCTTTATTCATAACTGCCAAAACTTAGGAGCAACCAAGATGTCCTTTAGCAGGTGGATGGAGAAATAAACTGTGGTACATCCAGACACTGGAATATTATTCAGCGATAAAAAGAAATGAACGCAAGCCACAAAAAGACAAGGAGAAAATTTGAGAACATACTGCTAAGTGAAAGAAGCCAATCTGAAAAGGCAACATACTGTAGGATTCCAACTATACGATGTTCTAGAAAAGACAAAACTATGGCAACAGTAAAAAGATCAGTGATTGTCAGCAGTTTGTGGGGAGGGAGGAATGAATAGGTGGAGCGCAGGGGATCTTTAGGGCAGTGAAACTATTCTGTATAATACAGTAATGGTAGACATGTCATCATTCATTTGTCAAAACCCATAGAACGTACAACACAGAGTAAACCCTATAAACTATGGACTTTAGTTAATAATAACGTATCAATATTGTTTATCAATGATAACATAGGTACCACTAATACAAGATGTAAACAATAGGGGAAATTGCTGCTCAGGGAGAGGGGATACACGGGAAATCTCTGTCCTTTCCAATCAATTCATTGCAAACCTAAAACCGCTCTAAAAAAATAAAAGTAAAATATAAAAAAAAAACTGTACAATGAGAACCACTTCATATCCACTAGAATATAAAAGATAGACAATAACAAGAATTGGTAAGGTTATGGAGAAATAGGAACTCTCATACATTGCTGATGGGAATGTAAAATTTGCAGCCACTTTGGAAAACAGTCTGGTAATGGCTTAAAAGTTTACATATAGAGTCACCATATGACCCAGCAATTCCACTCCTAGGTATATAACCAAGAGGAAAGGAAATATATATCCACATAAAAACTCATACATGAATGTTCATTGCAACATTATTCATTTATAGCCAAAAAGTAGAAACAACCCAAATGTTCACTCACTGATGAATGGATAAACAAAATGTGGTATATCCACACAATGGATATAATTAAGCAATAAAAAAGAATGAAGTACTGATGCATGCTACAACATGGACGAACCTTGAAACATTATGCTATGTGAAAGAAGCCAGTCACAAAGGATCACATATTTTATGATTCCATTTACAAGAAATGTTCAGAATAGGCAAATGCATGAAGTCAGAAAGTAGAGTCCCACCCCCACAGTGTCACTGGAGACTAGTAGGGAGCACCCCTCCCCCACAGCCAGGGTGTGTCAGCAGATGCCCAGTGGGGAGCCTGCCCTTCCCAGGGTGTCGACAGGGGTTCTGTGGGGAACCCGGACTTCTACTCCCACCTGACAACAAGGTGATTGTATGTAATTACAATAACAAGTACAACTGGCAAATACAGGTTTGGAAAAAAACACAACTGATTCTTGGCAGGTGTATGACTCAACCAGTGGGAGCCAAGGGCATATGACTGCTTTAGAGAGTAGCCTACCAGCTCTGGAATTTTGATGGGTTTTGCAACAGGTCAGTGTATTTTGCAGACTAAATGTAGAGCATCTCAATGTGCTAAGGTGGTTAAGTAGAGGGTGGTTAGGATTATTAGTGCATTTCTGCATGGAAATATTGCAAGTTAAATAGGCCTTCTGCATCTAAGCCTGCTTGGCACTTCGAAGTTATAGTGCCTATCCAAAGACAGAGAGAAGAACCCCGTCTAAACACCATCCATATGTTGGATATTGAGGACCCCTTGTGGACAATTCAGACAGAGCGATGGCTCCTTGGAATCGCCCTTCAGAATCAAATAACAAAAATTCACAAAGGAAACTGCATGGAAAGTCACACAGATCTTGTGCTTACATAACCCAGGAAAAACAGTTTCTATGCTATTGTCATCCAGGACAATCAAATTAATCTATAAATTTAATGCAATCCCAAGCAAATCTGAACAGGACTTTTAAATAGGAATTTAAGAATTCTGATTCTCTTCTGGAAGAGAAAATGTTCAATAGCAGCCCAAAAAATCTGAAAAAGATTATTGAGTGGGAATTTGCCCTACAATATGGAAATGTAAATATAAAAATATATAAAGCTACATAAACATAATCCAAATAGAT